AGACTCAGGGTACCACCCAAGTGCGGCCACCTTCGGCGTCGTGTCTCTTCAATCTGTGCAGGCGTCGCGCGGAAGAGCGAGATCGATGCAAGTTCTACCTTTGGTTCTACCATCGGAGATACGATAATTCTCTAGTGCTTGACCAGAATAGAGATAGTGGGATTAAAGGATGCGCCTTATATCTCTATCACAACATTGCCTCCCACCCACGTCAATGCACAACTGATCAAGATTTATCACGATTGTCACACATGGTCGCGCAATTCCTGACCCCAATCTCCCAAGGTCCAATCGACACCGGGTGCCAAATATAGCCTGCGCCGATTTTACACCAGTGACCACCGTGCACCTACCAACTAGGTTGATGATTGAAATACAGGTGGGTGCACAATGCAGATAGCCCCCGTCTGACGCTCGTTATGATATTTCAGTGTTCAGCACAAACAAAACGTGCATCTAGATCCGTCTCAAACGAACGGGGACATTGACAACGGGGACTCTTCTTTGACTCGTCACCCGCGCCCTCTCGTAGCGCATCAAAGATTCTAAAGTTGTTCATGATATCCGTAATCCGAATTAATTAGAGGATTTCCTATTAAAAAATACTAATGAACCGGACGACAACTGTTCGTAATTGACGGATATGACGATAAAATCAAGACAAATCAAGACGTGGAATTTTCCAAGTGACCCCAGCATCACATATAGAAGTAGTACTTGATGACCACAAACAGAATCACAAATATCACTAGCCCAGATAAGATAGCTTCTCCAAAGTCACCCCAAAATGTATTGACACTGAATTGAGGGCGAAGCGGTGGGTCTACAGAAACGGTTATCTTGTGCATCCTACCCGAACTACCATCTCGAGGAACGATGAAAAGAGTCTGTCGGGTTTCATCATAAGTATACTTATCGTCAGCGTTGAGGCCCGAGACCACAAGCTTCCTCCCATAGGTGATGAGGGAAGGTACGAAAATTTCAGTCTCTCTAGCAGTAAGAACGATATTGTCCTTGGACTCGGGCGACCTCCACTCAAAAACAAACGTCCCTGTGTTCAATTCGTACTCGAACCGGGTGGGTATGCCAGCAGTCTTTGCTGCGTATGGTCGGACGACAGACGGCAAGATGCGGCCACCGTTATCTAGCGTGAATGAGAATTGGTCCAAGTCGAGAAGTGATCGAGGTAATCCACGCCTCCGACTGAACCAAGAGAAATTTTCCCCGTTCCAGTCATCGCCTTGAATGTCATTATTGTCGGGGTTGTAGTTCCATAACCTGCAGGAATATCAATAATTGGTCATGCAGAAAGCACAGTACACACGTAAATCCGACCAGGGATCTCTCAAGACCTGTCATCATGGCGTCCATCATCCTTTCCTGCCATTTCCAGTCGTCACTCTCAAATGCCTCCTTGTGACTGAGACCGTTCGTCGTTAGGTATATATACTGATAGTATCGTCAGACTTACTTCATGTCCATGGGTATCCCGCACTCTCCAATCAGAATAGGCTTCCCGCCGAGCACTTTATAGCCATGATCCACGATATTCTGGATTTGGAGTGAGTAGTTTTCTCTTGCACCTTGTTGGCCCCAATACAAGGCTTTCAGCAGGAACATTCCCTGAAAAACGATATAAGCGTCCAGAACTCGTGTCTTATTTTACCAAGGATAATACCCTGGATAAGCCTTGCACGTTCACCGTGAAATCTCCAAAAGCCTTATTGAATAGCGCATTAAGATCATACCTATAACAGAGATAAGTAATATGCTTTTGAGACCATAGTTCACAAACCAATGTGGGGTAAACACCATATTGGGAAGTTGATGTTCTACTGTCCACGATGGTGGACAAAACTATAAAAGTTGTCAGGAAACATAAGAGATATGTCACACAACATGCCTCGTTAGGGATTGGCTCTACAAAAAACATTTTATCGTTCGACATCGCCTTCCGAGCGCAATCTGTCCACCGTTTAAGGAATGGGTAATAGAAATCGGTGTACCAATCAACCTTGAAGTGTGTGAGCATCCATTTTATGATCCGTCGCACATGCATACCTTACGACCAGTCATAGGGTCCTTGACAAAATAATTTTCGCGCAGAACGACACCCTCGTTCTTGCTGTTGTCCCACCCCCAGACGCCGTGCATCTCCCATACACACATGCCTTGTGTTGGACCATCGGGGCGCCAGGCCTTCCGACTGGCGGAATTCAGAACACTCCGAGAAGTGAGACGAGTAGGGAAAGGGAATGAGCGTGTCCAGTGGGAAACGAGAGTGGGGTATCCGCAGCCAAGCATAAAAGATTCGAAAGCGGATGCTGGACGTGGCCTGTCATTAGTATCTCAAACATCGGATATAAGTCAAGCGCACGCACGGACATGCGAAAGATGCAGATCTGTATTATAGTCGAACTTGTGTAACGAAGGCAATTCTATGTATCCTCTATGGGGCTCGTTCATAACCTGTTTCAGATTAGCACTATAAAAGTCAAGCATTACACAGGCTTGCCTCAAATCCAATGACTCCATCCAAACCATCCAGAGCCTGTACGACTGTAGCGTACATATCCAAGAATGCATCCTGGAGGTATTGCTGAACTGGCTTTGTCTGGCCATCAGGCATGACAACCTTCAACTTGGGTGCGAAGGTATCACCAGCCCAGAAACAGGTGCTGAACGGATAAAATCCCATGTCAACATGATGGGGACAATAGACTAAACTGAACGTACGCCATGGTCGCGGCGGCCAACTTTTGGTATCCGCAGGGCCAAATACCACGTTCCGCTTCAACGTGACCGCCACCTTTGACTCCCAGCAGCCATGCTGCCCCAGACTCTTCGAGTGCATGTAGGTCAAACCCAACGGCATTGAGAGTCCACGCTGGCGCGCCAGAACCACCCGAGTATCTGGACCAGACATCTTGATGAACGACGACGAATGCACTAAGTCCGAACGAGGGTAACAACAAGAGAAGCTTGCGAACGTATGTCAGATATTCCTTATCGTATATGCCACTATAAGGATTGCATTAGTGACATGATAGAGAGATGAATCTAATGCGTACAGTCCTGCATGTTCGACAGCTTCCCAAGTCACGAGAAAGCGAACTAGCAAAGTGTTACCATGCCGAAAGAATGTTAGACTATGTAAAGACGTACTAAAGGTCAAGCCCCATCTTCTAAGACGGGAAAAGTGCTCGGGTGCTTCCTCCAGTGGAAATGGACGGCCAACAAACGTAACGACTTCGTGGTCGCCGGGAAATGTACCATGGTCATGGTTCATTGGACTGCAAAACGTTCAGCATTATGTTTCACGTAGGTGAGGTCAAATCCTACGCTTTGCTGCAGCCAGACACGTTGACGCCACGTAAACTGCAGATGCGCCCATAGGCATCAACAAAGTGCCGCCCGTTAGGCTTTATTTCTCCTCCAGTTCCAGTTCGAGACCAATCATGTGCGTATGTACGAGTCGAGCCAGGTATGTATGAAGGCAATAAAGAGGGATGGATCTGACACCACGGTTAGCATTGGACATCTTACACTGGACTCAGAGTCTCAGACCTTGTCTAGAAGTGGATCCGGCTGTGCATAAGATGGAGACGGGGTTGGCTTCGGACTTCCTTCAAGAAAGACAAAGGAGTTCTCGGAGCCAGATGGGCTGAACATCGGTGACTGTGACGCGGGTATCTGGTCAACGTCAGACTAGAAACAATTGGATGGAATATTGCCGTTGCGGTGTGGTAACACCTCAAAAGCAATGGTATAAAAGGAAATGCCCTGATGAGACAACTAGGAATAAGGCAAATCCGAGGAGATCTATGGGCGGTCAACTTCGCAGCGAAAAGGAAATGGTTACTGTGTTGAAGTGGACTGAGCTAAGTTAGTTGGTCCAAAAGTTTATAACTGTGTCCGAAAGAGGAAGGTGGTTGTTTGGCAAAGGCTTTAGATCCAAACAATCCCATTTTATTGAACATCTTAGCGGCGCCTACGCGGCTACATCAGTGAATTGATGAGTTCTTGATTTTGTAGCCATGCGAATTGTAGAATGATGGAATTCTGCTTCTGCTAAATATGACCAAATAAACCATGAGAAATTTGAATTGTAGATACATAGCCGATGAATTGAGAGTAACATGAACAGTGTATGACAATGTTATGACGTTTCTCCATTGCAGCCGACGAGGGACATTAGCTTATTTGTGCTAAATATTTTGAGCATTGTCATATTGTGTGACTTGTCATTTGCATTACAGCCTCATCCAAGGCCTTCTCATGGGAAGTACCTTTGGCACTAGTCAATGAATGTAGAATCATGTAGGACTTCGTAGCAAAGTTATGACCTGTGGCTGCAAAGATCAACAGGGGATGACAGCTCACCCCTCTCATACCTTTTTAATGTTCAACTTTTTCGTTATATATGTTTTCAACCAAAAGATTATGCAACACCTTGCCGCAAGAAGTGCCCTTTAGGACTGATCAATGTATCTAGAATAGCATTACACTTAATAACAAAATTGTACTGGGCCGCCCTTGCAGCAGACAAGAAGCAGTAGCACACCTCTCGAATTATTTTCGTTCTTAATTTTGTTTGAGCTTTTTGTTTGAGCTTTTTAAAGCTTTCCAAAGCCTTGCCCAAACAGACTGATATAACATATGTACAGTAAAAACTATTTGAACATATCAAATCTCTCAGGCTGTCGTCAGATTCAGAATTAGCCCATCCATACGCGCTGACGTCACAACACCATGCATCCATCTTGACCAACTTGATCCTGGAATTGTTGCATCAGTCTGTCCACAGTGTCGATGTACTACTTAAGGATGACATCGATTTCTGAGAGAATGGGTTTTCTAAGTTTCTTCCCTGCAATAATAGCATAAGATTCATGTATGAAGTATGATAGCTTGGCAACTCACAAAAGCTCTTTGTCTCAGAGTAGCCTCTGACGAAAAGGACACATCAGCAGTCTACTGCGTGATACAGTTTAATTGGGTCAGTGGAGCTTACATTTTTGACCACCGTAGAGTAATAGCTTGAGGGCGTTCCAGCCAAATTGGGAGCAAATATCATCTAGCATATCTGGAATGGCAGACTTCTGACACTTAGTGCCATCGGCAAGCATGACTATGAAAAGGTCGCGCCAAATCCAAAGCATGACACAATCGAGGTTGTGTACGCCAGTGAAATGGAAAGACTTGACAACCTTGCCAGAGGAGCACCTAATCTTTACAGAGATGTACATGTTCATAAAGGAACACTTGCACCTGAAACAATATAAGTTACACCAAGGAGGACATAAGACACCTTACCCGACTTGTGCATCACCGATCTGTTCGATTGCTTTAAATGCACACAAAAGACAATCATGGGCCTTTGAAAAGTTTGTGCCGTACTCGTATATCATTGAGCCAGTCGATGAAAGTACTCCAAAGCAAGAAGGACCTCTGACACATAAAACTTGGCTTGATGAAGCAAGAATTGTTTGTGTTGGATGTGCGACATGGGGTCATCTCCACTAACGTACTCCGTGACAAAGTACACGTGCGTCTCAGTCTGGAAACATACTAAGTGTAAGCCAAGTAGGAACGGCTGTCGTTCCCGAGCAGCAGCCAAGGATACTCATTTTTCTGAACTGGCACTACAAATTTTGATTAAGTGTTTTCATCGCATCAAATTTATGAGACATACCTCTCGACCTCATCGTTATCAATTATAAACTTCTTCTTGAGCACGTTGATGGCATACGACCCGCTCATCTTTTTCTCCTCCGTGAGCATGACTTTACCCTTCCACTTCATAAGGAGCAGCCTGCAGTTCCTGTGTGATTGCTGAAATTTAAAGAAGGAAAAGCAAAGCAGGAGACAAAAATACCTGTGTAGTGGGCACTAAAATGCCTTCAAGTTCGACATTTTGGTCGCAATCATAGCCTGAGTGCAGCTGTGTTTTCATTTGAAGGGTTTCTGCATGAACTAGGACAAAGTTTAGAAATGATGAGAATGTCGTTAAACAGGAAGAGGAAGTGATCCTGCAGATGTTAGAATCCACGACCTGAAAGACTGGAGGGCATTGTAGAAATATTCGCGAAGGCTCGATAATGGCAGATAGACATACCTCAACAGCACACTCATCTCAATTTCATGGATCGCTCTGATTTTGCCCAATTTATATTTCGATTTACATAAGATGCTATTCAAGACCTTTTCATATGAGATACAAAGAAACAAGAGAACCAAGTCAAATTGTTGCACACATGCCGTGTAGTCTAATTCTAATGAACAATTACAGGTGGGTGCGCGCGGATGTCAGTGACGTGAGTACATGATAATGATCATGGTGAACATCTAGAGGTCATCTGAAAACAAAAAGCTCTAGCACCTACTGAGCTTAAACACCATAAATTAGAAGTACAGATATTCATCATGATCTTCTGCATCCCAGTCATCTGCGCCCTCTACTCCTTTGTCTTCGTCATAGTTTGCGTCTTCATCTTGGTCTTGGTCTTGATCAGCGTCTTCATCTTCTTCCCCGTCATCGTCACATTCCCCCCTTGCTCCGTCATCGTCATCATCACCACCATCGCCATTACCAATATCTCTTCCATCCTTATAGGGCGGAATACAGCTCTCCCAATCCCCGTCATAGCCATTCTGGTTCTTCCTCTGACATTGGGTCATCCCCGGGTCCTTCGTCCGCGCAAGCCTTCGTTATCTCCTGCAAGAACTTTGGATGTCCAACTCCATGGTATGTGTACTGCATGAACATGTCTCTGTCCACGAATCTGAGCAGTCAATAGTTTGAGTGAGGACGACAGGATGGGATGCTGTACTTACATGCCAACATAGTAAGCTTCCCAGTCATCTAATTCGCCGCACTGACGTGTGAATGACTTTCCATGGCGAAGGGAGGTGGTTCTGCGGCCAGAAGCAAAAGCTGGGATCAGGTGTGCACCCCGGATGACCTGACCAAGGTCCAGAAAACCAAAGGCATCATGGTCAGATTCCTTGATGAATGTGACCTTCGGAAGCTGAGCACAGCTCATCCCTGATTGATGGTCACTCAAAGGTGCCAACCATCTCACAAAAAGAACCTTAATTTGGTGTTTTTTGACTCGACCTTCAATATTAAGCCATGCATTCATGTGATAAATGCCCAGAACTCGGGCATACCAGTATGCATGTTGAGGTTTTGTTTCGCCAGATAATATCATGACATCGCACTGAGTCCAAGGATTGACAGTGTCATACTCTTGTCTAAGATTGTAAGTCATGTAATGGACCTGTGGGTTGAATGATGGTAAGCCAGCAAATGTCATGAGCCCCTTCAGTGACAAATTCCGTATTATACAGGCCACCCGACCTCCATAATATCCCATATGAGACGAGCCAGCAGATCATGGGCCCATGTTGTGTATATTCTCAATGATGACGGATGGGCCGGGACACATATTATTTCCGATGGAGATGGGTGGGCCCATGTATGCCAATGATATATATATCCTTGATGTCGATGGATGGGCCGGGGGAATATGATCATTCATGGAGATGGGTGGGCCCATCTGGGTAATATGTAAAGTAGGATATTATAGACAGCTGGGCTGAAGAGAGATGTAAGGCAAATATTGTTATATAGATGGGTGGGCCGACGGGGGTGTATTACATATATGGGTGGGCCGAGGTAGGGGAATATTACATAGACAGGTGGGCTGATGTGGGGTGTATTACATATACAAGTGGGCTGACATGGAAAGTATTACATATACGGGTGGGCCGACAAAAGGGATATCAAATAGAGCAGTGGGCTGAGGGTGCAATAAAATATTTATCACATAGACAGGTGGGCCGAGGTGGGGTATAATTATATAGATGGGTGGGCCAACATAGGATGTATTACATAGACGGGTGGGCTGACGTGGGGGATAATGCATAGATGGGTGGGCTGACGTGGGGGAATTGTACATAGATGGGTACATATATGGGTGAGCCTAGATATGTTCCATCAAGACATACAGCTGATGTAGCCACCAGAAAATCAAACACGTAGGATACATGTACACTATGAGTGCATATACCTACCATTGACCACCAAATCTAAACCCCTAAGCACAAAAACATGAATCGACCATGTGTGGCATTGACCAATAATTGAAGACTGAAGTGGAGAAACCCCACACCTGAACCCTGGTGTGCAACATATCCTATTTCTAAGCATGGACACCAGAAGCACAACACTCACAAAAATATAGACGTCAAATTTTCAGTGCCAAACCCCAAACCGAGATGTACCAACCCCTGAATCCTGAAACCTGAGACTGCTGGGTCTTGGGTTTTGGGGTTCGGGGGTCCGGAACTCGAAACTTGGGGAAATTTGGGGAGATCAATAAAATTTGATTTAAAATCGAATTGATTGACAAACACATTGACTTACCCATGTTTGAAATATATTTTTGTTTACACATACCGAGTTCTGAGTTCTGGACCCCGAAACCCGAGACCTGGCAGTCCACCATTCTGGGGTTCGGGGGTTGGTAAAATGTGTAGGAATATATGAAAGGTTGATGTAAAATTTTTTGAAAGATGTCTCATATCAAATGTTAAGTCCCGAGTTTCGAGTTTTGAATTTCAGGGTTCGGGACTCCGGGTTTCGGGACTTGACATTTGATATGAGACATCTTTCAAAAAATTTTACATCAACCTTTCATATATTCATACACATTTTACCAACCCCTGAACCTCAGAATGGTGGACTGCCGGGTCTTGGGTTTCAGGGTCCGGAACTCGGAACTTGGTATGTGTAAATAAAATATATTTCAAACATGGGTAAGTCAATGTGTTTGTCAATCAACTCGATTGTAAATCAAATTTTATTGATCTCCCCAAATTTCCCCAAGTTCCGAGTTCCGGACCCCCGAACCCCGAGACTGCCGGGGCTTGGGTTTCAGGGTTGGGGGGTCTGGAACTCGGAACTCAGTATGTAGAACAAAAATATTTTTAAAAAATGGGTAAATCAATGTGTTTGTCAATAAACTCGATTGTAAATCAAATTTTATTGATCTCCCCAAATGTCCCGAGTTCTGAGTTCCGGGACCCCCGAACCCCGAACCCCGAGACCCGGCAGTCTCGGGTTTTGGGGTTGGTACATCTCGGTTTGGGGATTGGGGGTTAGTAAAATGTTTACAGATATACGTAGGTTGATTTAAACATTGTCTGAGAGATGTCGTTCATCTCAAATGTCAAATCCTGAGTTCCAAATTTCGGACTCGGCACCTGGCACCCGGGACTCGGGGTTCGGCATGGATAATTTGACATTCGGGTGTTGGGGTTTTGGGTGATATCTACCTCAATCTACAGTTTTGAGTTCTGGATATCAGGACTGATCATTCAATCATTCAATTGTGGCATAGGTAACATGCATTGGAAAATATTTATGTACATCTATCACTGAGCAATTATGTAGCCATTTCAACCTTTCCCTCAACATCCATCTCCTCATCAGAAGAATCATATTCTGGCAGGAAATTACCTGGTTCATTAGGGACCACAAATTCGCCGGAGGATTCTGGCAAGAGGTTGCCTGGTGCATCCTGGAGCACAATTTTGCCAGAGGATTGTGGACCCTCAGGCTCAACTTGGGTGGGCTCAACCATGGGACCTACCATAGCAGATCCATGCTCAGGCGTCAAGGGTGTGGGTTCCATCACTGAAATGTCCAAATCAATGAGGTTGGAAAGTGCAGAGGGGAGGGGTGACATGGACAGGGAGGATCTCCTTGATCAAGCAACATTGATGCATTGGCCGGTGTGTCTGGAAGTGAAAATGAAGGGTGCCGGTCGATCACTGTGCACCAGAGGCTCTCATGGAGGCATTGCAGGGTATCAATCTTAGTGTCCTGCTCCTGCACCCGAGCCTCAAGAATCGTGATGCGAGCTGCACCATCCCAAATTGCGATTGCCATGGAATGGAGATCCGGCATGGGAACATCGAGTGCTGCATGAGGCACTGCGATGCTGGAAGACCTGACTGCTAAGTAAAAAATTAGGTCAGCCGGTCATCAAAGGTTTGGGTGACTTACCAGCTGGCACAGGTGCAGGTGCAGGTGTAGGTATCTTCTTGATGGTGATGGTCTTGCTGCGACCATGTGACTGCACCTGGGGTGTAGTTGCAGCAGGGATGGCCGGAGGTCGGGATGGGCCACAAGATTGACTTCGAGTTTGGGCCCTTGACCGGGAGGGAGACCGAGCATTGGATGGAGCAGGGGCAGGTGTCTTGGAACACGTCCGGCCGGTGGTAGACTTCCCTCGGATCCGTTTGGGTGGGGATCCCAGAGATGCAAGGTTGCATTTGATCTTCTTGGTGGAGCAGTGGATGCAAGACAAGCAGGGGAGACTGGTCCTCTTGTCCAAACGAGTCACACAGGGCCAATTCTCCTTGACACAATAATGGCAGGGGTTGTTCTGTGGTATCCGTTAGTAGATGGACGAAGGGGAATTAATTGGAGTACTCACTGGGCCGGGAATGGTGATATCAAATGTGGTATTGGCCGGCGGGTCACCATCCGAAGCACTGGAAGTATCTTCAGAGGGCTCCTCAACTTCTGGATGACTGCTGGAGGTTGCCTGATGGATCATTAATACACATATGAGTTTCTGGAGAACTTCTAAGACTTACCTGAGCCTCCGGACGACTGATGCGAGCCTCTGGATGACTGATGGGAGATTTCTAATGTAATGGGAATGAGTGACAATTATACATGAGATGTCCAGACAAGTCCGAACGACTCACTGTGACCTCCGGACGACTGCCAGCAGTCAGCTGTGGACACATGAGCATATATTTAAGGTCCAAATGGATAAATCAGACTTACTGAAGCAGGCCCAAATGATTGCTTCTTGGGGGAACTGGGTGACCGAGGCAACTGGGGCTTCCTTACAACAATGGTGGAGCGCTGGGGAA